TTGTATTTTAGTTATTTACCTTAGAACTTGAAATGTGTTACATTATCGTACGATACTTTAATTGCATAAAAAAGAGAGCAGGCTAATTCTTTCCCCTCTTTCTCTCTACCTTTTCCTTCGCTTCTATCATATGAGAAGGGTAAAAGAAATTATATGTACAGGCAACGCACATAAATATTGCAAAACTTTTATTATAATAGACAGGAAATCGAAGGTAAATATTGAGCTGGTAAATATTTTATTAAGTAAACCATCTCGACAATAGATGGGGTTAGTATGCTTTCTACTGCAAAAAGATATAATAATATTGCAGTTTAAAAAAAAATTTACGATATCGAAAGTATTAATTAATTGAATAATGGAAGAATTGAAAAAGTAACAGTTGTAGGTTTTTTTCTTAAAGATAACTATACTGTATATTTGTATAGTAATATTAAAATATTAAAATTTTACTTCTTCTACCTTAAAAGGGAATAGATATAAAAGAGATAGAAAGAGAGAATGGAAGAATAATAATTAAGAGTAAAAATTCCCTTAACATTTTCTTCTTGCTATCCTTTTATAATGTATAAAAAGAAAAGAATATACAATGAAGAAGCTAAAAAGGTATTAATTACATGGTATTATAGATTATCTATATCATCATCCTTTAACATAGAAGGATATTGTAAGAGGCTGTATCAAAATGGAAATTTATCAGGTATGGTGATATATATTTTCATAATTTATTTCCTATGAATTGATAGAAAGTAAGAGAAAAGGGAGAAATAGATAGATAGATTGAAGAAGACAGAGAGATAGAAAAGAAAAATGCAAGATTAAAATAAGAGTTACAAGTGAAATTTATAATCTAATTACATTAACTAATTATTCGTTTTAGCATTTTACTCCATTTAATTAATTATATAAAAAAAGAAAGGTTTGAAAAATGGGTGTTAAATTATTTAAATCACGAATTACCATAATGAACACAAGATTATAGGCGATTACACATACATTAAGAATATATATATATACAGTATATATATATATACATATGTTTATATAGACAGTTTAATACCTGATCATGCAGTATATTCACTCCTAGTATTTTGTAGCTGTGCCTATGATCGGCTTATAAATTTTAAATAAAATAAAACGGAGATCTCTCTTGAATTGAACATTTGAAAAACGTTGTTTAATCTATAAATAAAATTAGAGCTGATTAGCGAAAGGAATAAACATTCGAAAAAGAATTTACTACTGAAATACAATAATCTTAATTTTAAGAATAAACGATAGATGTCGCTACAAATCGATCAATTTTTTGTATTTAATAATTTGTTTCTTTTAATTAACAGATTATTTGATAGTTGATCAACAAATTGTTCATTTAGATTAACTATTGTAAAGTTCCATATAACTTCCAGATCATTTCTTTTATTTTCACTTGACAAGAGCAATACAAGAGGTTTTCTCCAAAAAAAGAATGAATTAAAACTCCTTTTGAACTTTTGAACTCCATTCCAGAAGAACGCAGGTGATATATTAATTATTGATAAGTCTTTAATTTTGAGAGGTAAAAGACCAGTGAAGAATACATCCTCGATATAGAAATGTTTTGTAACTTTAGTTAACTCGTATAGGTCATGAACCAAATCGCTTGTGTAAAAGTAGGCACCACCAATACAATATTCAGGATAATAATTATAACTACTGAAATCCTTTACACAGAATTTATTATTTGATTGTCTATTAATCATAGCATCTTTAACTCTGGAGCACATTATAAATCGTCTAGATCTTTTATAATAATATTCCATTAGATAATATAAGTTAAATATATGCACAAAGGTATCGTCATCAGCTTTAATGATATACTTTAATGATTGTACTTTGCAATATTCCGATACAAATTGTAATAATAAGACTCCTTTTTCAGTTAAGCTATAATAAAAATCTTTGAAATTTCCTTGCAAAATATCACCAAATTTCCTATATTGAAAGAAAAAGAAAAAGAAATACAGTACAATAAATATAATATTTACCTACATTTGTTCGTTTTGCAAACGTGCTTGTATATCTTTTTTATCGTTCATGGTTCCAACAACAAATAATAATACAGATGGTAACTCTCTATATACGTTTCTCTGAGCCCAATTATTCCTTATAATATCTCTAGAGTTAAAATCATCACTCCTTACTAGTACGTATATTAAATATACAGGTTGATTTTGATTGCATAATTCACTATCATAAATTTTATATTCTATTGGCCCTTTTCTTAAATTCTCATCCAATATTTCAACATCATCAATAACTCTTCCAGCGACTAATTTCAATAAGAGAGCAATGTTGGCATAAATGGCATATATAAGAATTATAACAATAACCAATGTAATTGATCTCCTTAAAGAAAATAATCTAGAGAATGATGAAATTTTTTTCATTTTCCAATAAATTTTCAAATAGATTCTTATCCTAAAATTGTTGATGTTTTTCAATCATCAAATATTCAATTTATTAATCAATAATAACGATATTCTTATTTTAGTGATAAATACCTTACTATATCTATTTAGTAATTCCTTTTCTGTTCAAAACAAATGACTATTTTCTTATTTATTTCCACAAATTCATACAGTGATTTACTATTAAACTAAAAAATGACCTTAAACATTTCGTTTATCTAAAATTATATTGAAGCTGTTATCTAATCTTTTTCAGTTTTATATTACCTCCTTCAAATGGCGATTGAATCAATATTTAGCTCAGTTTCATTGAAATGTTAACTAAGCTATTTCATTGAAATATCAACTTAATTATTTCATTTAGTATACTAGAATAAATACAAAGTCGATTTTTTCAAAAAAAAAAGAGATAAACAAAAGATGGCAGCACCGAAGCATAACAAACAAAAATGGGTAAATGTTAATTCTTACAAAGAATTTAAACGTGTAGATAAAAATTTCTCTTTTCAAAAGATTGGATAGCATAGATAAAGATAAAGTATAAGAATAGCTATTCATGTAAATTAGTTTTGAAATATTAAAGAAACCATACATTTCGGCAATCTCAAGTTCAGAGAAATGATTAACTGCGAATAATGTTTCTCCTAAAAATAATTTATATTTTCCTGTCTTTTTATCATATTTGATTTCCATAACAGAAGAAATTGAAAGAATAAATATCGAAAGTACAAAAAACTATAATATATTGATTAATTATCACGTTTTAAGCCATTTAAGCATTGAATCTACTTAGTTATACATTAAGAAAAGAGCGTAATAGGTAGATGAAATATAGAATTTCAATATACATTTATATTTGTATTTACAATAATTATACTCAAGACAGATTTTGAAGTATAGTTAATTCGTTAAAATCTAATTTAAATTGTATAATAGCTATTTTTAATATTACTAAAGGTTATTTATGAAGTATAGAAATGAATGAAATGTCTTTCATGTTCATTAAAAATTTTTGGCGAATGTCCTTAGAAATGTATAATTGCTTTCAATATATTAACAATAACTCATTTTTCTATTAAATTCAAAACTAAGCGTTTTCTTAATGAAAGCATGTAATCAAGTACAAATTATCTTGAATATTATTTTCTATATCTTTTTTTATCTATCTCCCTCTCCTCTCCTCTTTTCGGTTAGAGAAAAACATTTAGCACTTAATGATTGTACCTTAATTGCATAATTTATTTATTGGTAAGAAACACATATATTAATATATATATATATTCGTAAAAATGTATAGATAGAAAGAGAAGTGTTCAATTATTCTTTGAATAATGAGGTTAAGTCAACAATAATTTTTCTACGCTTGTCAGTGTTAATATATTGTAAAAATCTTTCTTCGTCTTTCTTCTTCTTTTCAGTTTTAAATTTGGTAAATTCATTTAGAAACGAATTCTTTATTCGATATTCTTTCAATTTTTCTCCTTCGTAATATTGTTGAGTTTTTTCCAAACGGCTTTTTATTTGTAGTGGATTTAAATTACTAGATTCTCTTACTATATTATTCCAACTATTTAAACTTTTCATTCCGTAAATAGTATCTTCGTCCAGAAGATTTCTTTTCTTAGGTAAGTTTTGTAAGGATGGTAAAATGGGCACTTTCCAATTTCTAATAGGTATTATTGAACTCTTATTGATTTGTTTTGGTATTTTTATGCTCCTCCTAACTTTACGAGGTTGATGTATTGGTGGTTTAGTAGCTACAGCCATCAGTCTTTGCTTGCCTTCCGAATAATTTAACATAGTCATAAAATATTCGCACTTTCCATTGTCAAGACGGATCAAGCACTGTCCATATATTTACCAGTCGCTGTTTTCAAGGGCGTACCTATAACGGGGGTATGAAAGTAATATGATAATATTAACATTTCAATACTAAAGCTAGTCTATTCAATTGCAATAAATAAATTAAAGTAAAGTTGAAGTATACCTTCAACTGAAGAAGATAAATTGTTTCTAACTATAATACTGTAAATAGTTTTTATCTTCTATTCAATTTATTTTTTCAAATAATCTAAATATTTTAGCAATTTTACATAAAAAACTCTTGAAACGCTTTCGTCGACAAGAAACATTAATAAACAAAGCTTTTCGTATAAGTTTTTATCAATTTATATTTATAATAGATGTAAAGGAAAGTTGTTTTAGATATTTTCCCACGTTCCCTATTTAAGTCTTTCATTATTGTAATTATAAACATTCTCACTTAACTTTTTAATATGTTATATAAAACAGAGAAGAAAAGAGGAAATATCTATTGTGTAGGATGCTAATTTATGAATTAATTAGGCTTATAATTTAAGTTATTCATAAGCAGTTTATTGTCATTAGTGTGTTTTTTGTTTGTTTTAAAAAGTGGACTTGAACCATTGTATATATAGGAAGGTTTAGGAGGTTTTATGCTGTGTGTACAGTATAAATAAATATATATATATATATACAATATATCAATAGTTATATATATATATATGTATAATATATCTATCAAATATATGTAAATACATATATATTTGTTTTTATTGAAGAAAAGAAAATAAAAGTGTTCAAGAAGAAAACCCCAAATTGGGATATCCACTCCGCTATTTGTATATGACGGCTCACCATTCGATATTCTTTTGTATTTTATAGATTTTCTCCTTTTTCTTTTACAGCCATATCCGATAGCACATACATAATCGGTTTCAGATACTGTCCCTTTTTTAAGTCTATTTGAGTGGAAGGAATATTTTTACCTTTTTAACGCTGGCTTCACTCTTTATTTCTGATTGATCAGAATTTGTTAGGCTTGACAAACTCTTCTTTCTACAATTAAGAGCAAGGTAGTCAGGATTTGGCTGAAAGTGTTTTGTTTGTCTGAATTGATTCGATATTTCTAACTCGGTTTTTTTAGTTCTCCTCCAATCTGGTAAATCTTCGTAGAAAGTTTTAATAATTGAAGGACCATCTCTTAAATTTGCTCTTGTATTCATTGGCAACCAGAGCGATCTTTCCATATAATCTCTCCTTTTTTGCGCGAGAAATGTTGGCGGTGCGGTCTTTTTAAGAACCTAGAGTAGAAGATAGGAAAAAAAATGACGACAATAAAGAAACTATCTGATATATTAATTTGATTGTTTATCAATTATAGAGCAAATACAGAATAGAATTAAAATATCTTGGCCACTTGAAAGGTTGACTGATTTTCATAATTAAGAGAAGTTCAAGTGCCTACCTTTTCAATTGTTGTCTTTTTTCGAGTAGCTAGAGAGGAGGCCTTTTCTGGCAATTGAAGAATAGGGGGGCGATATAAACTTGATTGACATACATCGTAATGGGAGCAGGACGAATTTAGAGAACTAAGAATTTCTCTCATGCTAATCCGATCTGGATCTTCTTCTTCTGTACTAAATTTTGGTACACGAACTAAAAGTTTTCCTTTAATTCTTATTTCTTTTCTTTTGACAATCGAGCTAGAAAATTTCATTTCTGCTTCACCAGGAGTGAATTTTATGGGATTTGGTCGCCGAGGTCTCGAAATTCTAGGAGTCCATGCGTTAGGTAGTAATACAGACATATCTGAAGCCTGTTGATTGTCAGTAGCGACGTCGATCAATTGACGCTTCATTGGCTGTAGACTGAACGCTTTTTGCGCCATATTAAGTCTCAAACGCAGCAACAAATTTCTTTTTTATCCGCTGTGTACAGTATTATATTTATATTCATATATAACTTAAATATTATATAAATAAATAGATTAGTTATGTCTATACACAAAATCGTGGCATATTCTATGTATTTTAACCGTTCAGAATAGAAGTTATTTACTGAACAGGTTTCTTCCTTCAAAAGCGAGTTTATTCAAGTTAAGAAGTTGTAATATGCTTTGTTTACTTATTTACTTAGAAAAGTTTTATTATTGAATTTCAAAGAAGCTTTTGAATATTACAAATTTAACGGTAGAAACTAATATGTACAGTGTATAGTATATTAATATACTATTCTCTATATAATAGTAATAATAATAATAATTCCACATCAATTTTTCCGGTAAATATAGTTTATTTAAGCAAATTTCATTGTAATTGTTTTAAGTAAGAAATTTTCGACCTTGCTCTTTTCTTTTCTTCTTAAAACTCAACTTCCTTTATTCCTTGGAACATTTTACTTTAATTTTATCATTTTAATTCCAATTTTAATTAATAATATAGATTTTTCTTTTATTCTTATATAAAGTATATATCTTTAGATTTATCTTTCAAAATTTCAATAAAATATACTAGTTTATAGATTTAGAAGTTCTTTGACATTAAATCTATGTAAGGGAGAAAAAAAAAGAAATTAAGGCATATAAAGGGTATTGGAAGAAAGGTATGAATAAATTAATGAAAACACGAAATATTTATGACGTAAATAGCTCCTCAATCTTCTTGATTATTCCTTAAAACGAATATAATTAAGATTACAAAGCATTATCGTCATATATGCTACTAAATATATATTTAGATAACGAGGACTTAGCTACTATTAATTATATTAATATTATACTATACATACTATATGTACCATTATACAGAAATACATAACGCTTACGGTACACTATAAATAGGATATACAATAATTTTTCCAGGGTTGTTGATAACAATATAAAACACTTAGAAGTTACCTTGTCAATATCCATAGACTAAGTGAAAATTAGAAGAATAAAGACAACGAAAAAAAAACGGAATATTCTATTAAAGAAAATTGATTTTATTCCATAGACAAAAAACGATTTGTAATTGATTTTCTTTTTAAACTTCCCAAAACCAGGAAATTCGTGTTTTATTATTAATAATAGTTTATTTCAAATGTTGATATACTTCTTTTCTTCAAAAAATTATCTGTAGATTTTGATCTATATAGAGTTGGGGATAGTATATCTTCGGCCTCCTCTTGAAGATCTAACGGAGTGATTAAATAGTAGATACACTTTTTAATTGGTAACATAAATTAGGATGAATATAAATTCGAAACTAAATGATACAGAAGTTTTCTTTTCATCATTTCAACTGCTTATATTCAAAGTATATATAAAATATGTTTTACATAGATGTAAAATAAACCGCTACTTAGATGTAGGTTTCTAAGAAGAGTATGTTTCAAGTATAAGATATTTATAAATGATTAAGAAAAGAAGAGTTGTTAAAAATGGTAATATAGTATAGGAATATATATTAATATATTTATACGATAATACTAGCCGTCAATTATAACATGAAACCTATTTAAAACGGAAAAAGCTTACTCTTTTCCTAAAGTTCTTTCTTTATAATCCGTTTTACCAAGAATCTTTTCAGATTTTTTATTAAATTTTATCCCTAAAATAAATATTTCTTTTCCTCAGTTTTCTCCTATTTTTGCTTTACACTTTCCCTTAAAATAGATATTATACATAGTATATATCTATATCTATACTGATGATCACATTTGTACACACTGTTTAAAGGGGAGGGGATTTCCTTATGACTTAAAATCAGTAAAACGCTTACAAGTAGGCCAAATACGGTAAATAAAAGATATTGCAAATCTATACAAATTCTGTTTAACACAGCAAGTTCAGTAGTTGATTTATTATCTTTATGACCAATATAATTTAAAACATAAGGAACAGAGAAAGAGTGAGAGGCGGAGAGAAGAGAGATACAATAATTAGCATATAAATTAAATTATTTATCTAATATACACGTTTATTTGCATGGCAGGGACAAGAATGTGATTTTTCCTTTTTTTTAGGTATATACTCATTCTGTTTTGATTTTGAGAATCTGGATAATTACGTATTTAGCTATTTTACACCCATTTCCAAACTGTAAAGTTGCTCTTCTAGTTCCTTAACTCTTTGCAAATTCTGAAGATAACATTGAATTTTGTTCTTTTAAATGTTTAAGAGAATTTTTCTAATGATATTTAAATAAATTATTTTTAATATACAAAAATCTATTCTATTATATGTTGTGTCTTTGTTATTACCGATTTATAGAACATGCACTGTACTTTATCCTCATCTTCTCCCATTAAGCAATCCTTCTTATTATTGCATAATTCTGAGTATTTTATGCAAAATTTTTGGCCAAATTGGGTTTTGTATACACATTCTACCTCCTCGCAGCTTACTGTACAAAAATTGCATGACAGTTTTTATAAAAATATTTCAATGTAAAAGGAGAATTTTTAAAAGAAAGATAAGAGAAATAAGATTAATTACTTTATCAAAAAAAAGAGGAATCTCTTAAATCATCCTTTGTTGTCTTTTTTTAGAACATAGATCTTCAACTCGCTTTTTATAATCTTTGAGACAATTTTACTTTCTAATTGACAAAATAATAAAGTCTTTTCATATCATTTTATCTTAAGAACGCTCCTGCTTATCTCTTTGTTTTTCTTTTTTAAAACTTTCAGTTTTTATATTGTTTTACTTGTCCTTAAAAACGATAAAGACTTTAATAGAATGTTTAAATATTAGTTAAAAGCATCATCATTTTAACTCTTTATAAATTAATAATAAAGCATCACTTTATATGATTATTTTAGCTTTCTAAGTTAAATATCTATTTTCTTAAATCTAATATAAAATAGCTATAAGGAATATATGCTAAATTTAAAAAAGGATAAAATAAGAAGGAGAAGCGATAAGATGATTTAAGAGAAATATTTAAAACAAAAAAAAAAGAAGAGAAAAGTTAAAATAAGATAAAAAGAATATTTGTTACCTCCATTATGTCTCTGAATTTCTTTATAATGACCATTAAATATTTGCTTATTTTGTTTTCGTGGGCTAGTCAGAAAACTAAGAGGAGTTTTTCTCTTTGAGATAGCAATTGCAAATAGTTGTAAAGTTACTAAAGTTAAACCAGTTATGTTCATGCTTATGTCAACGCGACGGAAATGCTCTTACTGTCTAGCTACTTGATTTTATACACTTATGTGGGCGTATTTACAAGGCCTAACAGAGACAGACATTCATGCTTATTAAAAGGAGAGATATAGAAATATTTTTTTTTTTAACTTTTATTCTGCTTTTACGCGAAAAGTTAAAAAATTAAAACTAAATATTTTTCAATTAATCTAAATTTTATATTAAACATTTGTCTATATGTATAGGATTAGGGTTAAGGTTAGGTTTATATACAGCATATATAATCTTATAAATGTATGAAAAATTACTTAAAATTTCAAGGAAATTCTATAAAAATATATATAATAGATTTGTAAATTATTAGTTAAACATTTTAAATGTATGATGTACAAATGGACGGTTTTTCCTCTTTATTTTTTTACTTTTTTCTATATAAATAAGCATTATATCATAGAAAGCGTGAAGAAAATTTCTATTAATTTGCCTAAACAAATTAGTATTGTCAGTTTAGTTTTGAATCGTGCTAATATACAATACTTTTGGAAGAAATAATTAAAACTATACTCCCATATTTTCGTTAACAAAAGAGAAAAAAATTATCATTTTCTCTTATAATAACAATAATAGTAATAATACAAAGAAACTGTCACAAAACACTATGTTACAAACGTATACTATATACAGTATATATATATATATATATATATATATATATATATATATACAGTATATACACACTTAGTTGATGATAGTACTAAAGAGTACTTCATATTTTTTTATTAAAAGGTAATTTAACAGGTCATCTGTAAAACAATAAGGATTGGAAGTAGTTTCAAATTCCGTAATATCAAATAGTATGAAAACTATATAATAAAAAAGTTATTTATTATATTATTACTATATGAAAGATGTATATTTACAATGTCTATTTTTATCAAAATCATTTTTTATATATTAGTATATTCGTATAAAAAGCATTTAATTGTACTTATATAAGTTGCTTTTGTTTCTACCGGAAACCCCCTCTCTCTTTGAATAAAGAAATCGTATATATCTATTTTGAAAAAGAAATTAAGAAAATCAAAGTTTAATAAACTTAATGAATGAATAACGTAAAGAAAAGGTTTTCTTCTATTTTCGTCAATTTTTCATTCACCTTTCACTATAATGTGATATTTTGGGTTATTTTTATAATTAATTAAGGCAGTGGGATATATTTTTATCGTTTTTCTCTCTCTCTCTCTCTCTCTCTCTCTCTCTCTTTCTTTTTCTCTTTTCAACATCTTTCGCTTATATATATATATATATATATATATATATATATATATCAATAGTAAAAGATTATAGTGCATCATCAGACCTTACTATAAAGCTAAGAATATATTAGAACAAATACAAAAGTTTATATGCGTTATTTACCGTCTAATTGATCTAAACTTTATATATATATAAATATAAATATATACAAATACTAGTTATTGGAACCAAATATAAACCGATTGACGTAAATATAAAAAAAATTTGAATAAAAATTTCATCAATTTTGATTTTACCTGCCTGCTGCCCTAGTGAAAAGCAATTGGCTTTGATTTCTGGTTGTGGAGTTCCGTTATACAAACCACGTTTGCCAATAAATGGAATAATAGCTCTTGAAGTTAGCTGTTCAATCTTCAAATTTTCTTTCCAATCCTTATTTTGGCTATCGTTCAATTGCTAAGAAAGTCGTAATGAACAAATTTAAGAAGTTCATTTAAAAAGTTTCTGTTTTTTCTCTTTTTTTATAGCAAATAAAAAATTAGCGTAAAAATTATCTTCAAAGGAAAATAAATAAGTTTGTAGGTCGAATATAATTTATAACACTTATTGACCTACTTAAAAAACTACCATTCATAATAACAGCCAACATAAAATATATATATGCTTGAATATTTGAATAAGGTATTTCCTTTTCCTTACATAAATATTTTATACTATAATTATATTACCATAGTTCAATAGTCTATATTTAGATTCACTCCTAATGATTTTATTGATAGAGTCCTCAATAAAGTTTAAGGAAATCTACAGAATAATTCACTTTAACATATTAAACTGTATAAGAGACTATTTAGGTGAAATAAACTAAACGTTATTATATTTATATAATTAACTATACTAGTTGTACTATTCATTTTTGAATATCTTTCTTTATATGGCTATTTTTAGATAGTTTTTACAACAGGGTCAATAAACAAGTTTATTACATAAACATTATTTTAAGAATGCATATCTCTATCACTTAACTAAATTAATTAATATCATTAATAATTAAAAAGAAAATAATGAAACGTACGTGCAAAATAAGTAACATTTGTTTGATTGCGTCACTAGCGTCTGGACCAACTTTGTCTAGGCATGCTAAAATAAGAATAGAAATTAGTTAATCAAAATTTATATTCTTGTACAGTAATGTAATTAATGTATTATAAATAGAATCACGTAAGGTAACAAAAGATACAGTAGAGTCCTGTATATAAATATATATGTTTCTTTTTTTTCTTTTGGCTTTATATGCATATACTAATACTAAATATAGTTTTATACTCTAATACAGAAAAGATTATTTAATACAAACTTGCTAAATCTGTTAATTTTAAGACAACGGAATCTCTGAAGGAGAATAAGCATATTCTTCTTATTAAAGCTTCACTTTTTGCAGCTTTTGGCTATTTTGTTTTTTATTTTAGTGTTCAAATTTGAAAGGAAAGAATGAAATATTAAGATTTTTTGGTTTGTTGAAAAACATTCGGAAATATTTAAAAGAATTAATTACGGTTATTGGAAGAAAGATTGATTGTAAATTTGGGATAGTTTCCTTATGAAACTGATTCCATTGTTCGCCAAGTCTTTCTAATAACGTTGAGGAATCATCCTGTAAAAGCATGTCTTTAATTTTGTTTAAGCTATTCTTCAGTAAAGTCTCCTGAAGGAAGACCATTATCAGTCTGGAATCAATCCTTTTCGACAGATACCTTAAATAGAGGAACATTATTTATACACATATATATATATATATACTGTATATATACTGCATATACTTTATATACTGTATATCGTTTCTTAAATGTATTTTTTATATAAATAAATATCATATTTTAATAATACATACACAACATTTTCATATGCTGAGAATACATCTTTACCACTTATTGGTTTTCTTTGTAGGACTGATAGTGCAATTCTCTGAACGCTATAGTTTTAAAAATAACTATATTATTTATTTATTTATTTAAAGCAGAAAAGTTAATGAGCTTAATACAGATTTTTTATTATTTGCTTCGAGTGATCTATCCTCATTTTATGAGTAGTTATTGGTATTTTTTATCACTTTTTTGCATTTAATTCTCCTTTTTCTTTTCAATTGAAAATAATAGATTTTTAAAAATTTATTAGTTATTTAATAGAACAGTTGAATTAAAGGTTTTAACTAACTTTGTCCATTTTTCTTGTCTGTGTAATAGTGCAAAATCTAGTTCATCGTCGGCCACTTTCAACTGCTCGCTAAAGACAGCTGGTTCAAGAGACATTACTGATCCATATTTTCTTCTTCTCATTTTTAAATCAGAATCGCTGGATCTTTTTAACCTAGTATTGGTTAAAGATTCATTTAATGGCGGTGAAGCCATTTTTCAATTCGAAAAACTGGTAAAAATATATATGTATATATAAAAAGTAAATAAAAAAAGACGAAAAAAATATCGTATCAAAGTTAAATTTATTCTCTAATTTTAGGCGAAAACTGATAAGACATTATCTATTTGAGGCCTTCTCAGATAGGCCTAAATCTCTTAAAAACAAAATATAAATAAATATCTAGAAATTTATTATTTTCCTGTAATAAACATTTTAAGAATTTTATTGCATGTAAAACAATATACTACGCTTTTTCTTGCTACTTCCGGCAATTCTCTTCATTGATATCTTTTTAGTTTTATCGTTATTTAGCGTAAAAAAGATTGTAAATTATGAACAATGCAATGATAATATTATATTTTTTAATTAATTCAATTATTATAATTTATGCTCCGTTCAATTAATTAAACATAGAAAAAATTTACACATTATATCATCTACAAAAAGTTTAAAACTCCGCCAATTACTATTTTATACTGTCGATTATCAAACATGTTACACTCTCTATATATATTAAATTTATATATAGGTATACATATTGTATATAGTCTCTATATTAGAAGAATACAATTTATTTGATGATAATAAGAAGAGAAGTCGCATATCTTTTTTAGTAAATTTCGTGTTTTGTTTTTAAAATAAAATAGAAGATTATCATAAAATCGTAATTTTCATGCTATTATAATATTTTTTAGAACTAGTAAACAATAGAATAACGTGCTGAATGCTCCTTTCACACTTTCTCTTTTGTAATAATCCGTCATGAAAGATCCTACATGAAAATAGGGAATAATAGCTATATATAAACATTAATAAAAGAATCATTAGTAATTTGTACAATATAAGCTTCGAGAAGAAATTCATAAATTTTTTCCATAGTGCTAAGCCTATATTTTCTCCATGTCTTGAATTTCTAGGAAAACTTTGAGAAAAAAGAAAATTAACCTATATTCAAGATCAAATACTGACTGCCTTATTAAATCTATGATATTTAATAGAGTAATTTATAGTGAACATTTATATATGCGTATATTTAATAATTCTCTTTAAATTGAATATTGTAATATATATATATATCAAAACCAAACATAAGAAAATAATTAATTTTTTCTTATAAGTTTGCATTTTTACTTTTGACATTTTTTTTTAATGAATAGACTGGAAGAATTTCTGTTTATATATGTATATATAAACTTAATTAAAAGCAACAACTTTACTAGGCTTACCATAGCAACGATATAAACAAGATGGCGGATGGAAAGAAATATAGAATTAAAAAGCCTCCAAAAGCTTCGAATAGAGAAAAAACATTTGATAGTGTTACATCGGATATTGACGAAGATAGATTACAGATGAGAAATGAGGTAAAAATGAATTAACACAATTTACGGATGATTAAATATTCGTAAATAAAGAAAAGAACTTCTCTATACACTTTTTTCTTACCAATTTAATAATTTTTCAGCGTCACTTGCAAGTCTATAAGCAAGCTTACAAATTAAGAGATCATTACTACTCAGAATATATGGAAGTATTAAGGGAAAAAATTGAAAAGCAAAGAGAAGAGATTAAAATTAGGGAGCAAGAGAATCAAAACAAGATGAGAATAAGAGAGAAGAAGGAGGTATTGTATTATCAGTAATCTTTTCTAATTATTTTTTAAATTGACGAACCCTTTAACATGTGCATCTTTTAGAAAGATAAGTCTATGAAGAGAAGAAAAAAAATGACAAGAGTTGAACTAAACACCGACGACAATTTCCTGAAATCTATAGAAAAGTCTGAGTATTATAAAAGTCTCTATCTTCTTGATAGATTGAAGAAAAAAAAATTAATACGATGTCAAGAGGATGTTGAAGAATTTTGGAAAACCGCTAAAACTGCTGAAGGCTATGAAAGATATAAAAACCTTCTTACGAATAAAGAAAGAGTTAAAGAGGAGCCAAAAGAAGTCTTCCCTCCCGTGAATTACGAAAATAGACCAATGTCAGATATAAAAGAGAGTAGAGATACAGTTAGAAGACCCCCTTCAACAAAAAGTTCAAGTTCTCATAAATATATGGAACCTTGGCAAATAGCCCGAGTGAAAGCTAAAGAATTAGAAGAAGAACATCCTCCAATACCACTTCCTCCTTTAAATTGTTATACAATGGAATTAGGTGATAAACCAAAACCACCGGAACAGGTCAGTGCAAAGCAATAAATGTTAATCTTTTACCAAAAGAATGTGCTATTCTTGCATTATCTAATATAACAAACAGGTAATCCGGGAAATGAATATGAGTAAAAGGGAAACGGAAAGAAAAGGATTTGTCAAGAGATTAAGGTCTATGTACAAACTTGCCATCTCAAATACAGCGTCAACAAGAAGACTTTTTGATAGGCACGATGGCGAATTAGACGATAGAGAGAGTTTAAATGTAAAAGAGCTAGTAAGCACTTTTAAAAATAATGTTATAACAATGAAAAACATTATTATTTCTATGAATATTTCAGCTGGATTATATGACTGATAGTCAGAAAAGGGTTGCATCTCAAAAAGACCTGGAAGTGAATGACAGACAAATTGACTTGGAATGGAAGAGGCACTTAGCAAAAAGAATAGAACCTGTTGTAAAAGAAGATAATTTGAAGTCTGCGTCACTTCAAGTAGTATTCGAAGAAGAAAATGAATTTAGTGAACCTATAGAAGAGAAAGAAATAGAAATAGGAGACGAATTAATTAAAGTACCTTTATCTTTAGATTCCGTACCGAATTACGGAGGTAAAATTATTGTAAGTATTACTTCCATTCTCTATGATTTAAATTATTTGCTCTTATTTGCTCTTCATCAAATAAACAACATATATATGACTTTAATGAAATAATCTAATAGGAGGCGAAATGTTTGAGTACCCTATGGAAGAATCCTGTGGAACCAAATTCAGAAGAAGATGCTAAAGAAATTGTTAAAATGATTAAAAATAAACCTGACTGGATAGAAATATCACGTCTAAGTTTCCCAACTGCCTAAAATAGGAGTGGGCTCATTTACTCTTTATTAATACTTAATAATGTCAATTATCTTATTATAAAAAGATAGGTATGTGTTTATGAGCTGTAAAATTTGATAAATTACTCGCCTCGTTAAAATTTATCTTACTATCATAGATATTTAAATATTTTTGGGTTATTTACAACTCAAAAAAGTTCCTTTTTTTTGTATTTTAATTATTTAGAAACGTTCATAAGGTTTTGTTTATTATCTCTTTTATTTTTGTTTATTTTGTGTTATTGTTTTGTTAAATAAATCATTATTACAATAAAAAAAACAACAAAATAAAATGCGCTTATATAAGAAAGTAAAATGAGCATACTGGGACAAAAAAGATGGAGGGAGGCGTTTTGCTGGGATAAGTCATATTTGAGTATTCTTCTTCTTTCAGAGCCTTTGACAAAGTCGTTTTGACTAACTGCTGAGATTTTTTCATATCTCTGCGGAATGAAACATTTTCATTTTTATTGTTTCGTTGTGGTTTAATTTGGACAATTCCTTAATGCCTCTCTATATGATGGTGGTGGTGATTCTCCACCCATTCTATTTTGAGAACTTGTTGTAGGCTGTCTTGTAGACCTTTTTATGGTTGATCTCTAAAATAGAAAGTAAGGATAATATGTTGGTATTGCCATCTATCGGCTTAATAATAACTTACATTATATTTAATACAAACAACGACAAGTGCTGAAATTATTAAGATTACTAATACTGCGACTAATACGATAATCCACCATTTAAAGGATTCTGGGCTAGATCGTTCCTCTTGAAGTTTCGGAACGGATAGTATTGTTTCGTGTTCAGCCAGCGTTCCTCTTTTACATAAGGGTCTAGCTTTGTCGGGATTACTAACGTAATCACAAAATTGCCTCCTCCAAGAAATATCTAATAATTTGTTCAAAGGCCTTTTCAAAACCATGGCAACACATCTATTATTTCTATTAGAATCGTCTTCTCCATCGAAGAAATCCGAAGTACTCTTATCTAACCACTCAAGTTTACCAATTTTACTTAAATCATTCAAACCAATCCAGAATTTTATAGAACTAATTTCATAATTTCCTTGATAAATTTTTTCCAGGTCTCTTTTAAAGTCTGGATCATTTAATATTTTATTTTTGACAATATCTAACTCTTCCCTTGAATCGAATTTAACTAAATTAGCTTTGTTATATCCACAAAATTTTTGAGAGTCTGCAAATTTGAATGTATCTTTAACTTTTGGTAAATAATAACAATTTTGATCTATATGAATCCAATTAGGAAGGCAAGTTGAATTTTTTGATATTTCTTCAAAGTCAAGAATAACACCAATAAGATTTTCAAAAACTCTTCCAATTTTGGTTCTAAGTTCAATTATTAATTGATTTGAATAGCTTAGTACATATTTAGGATTTGAATCTTTACAAAACGTTCCCAAACTTCTAACTTCACCTAAAAATATGAATTATTTATGTATATAAATATAGTGATATAGGCTCTAAGAAAATTTAATGAAACATACCATTAACCACATCAGATACACTTAAACTATCTAAATTTGCATCACATCCCTTCCTCGGCGCAAAACTTAAATCAATAGTTTTAATGTGTAGTCGTATTAAACTATTTTGTGATCCAATAATCTTCCATTTGCAAAACATTCCAGTGCTGAGAAATTAATGTATGTTATTATAACTTATAATTGATAAAGGACTCTTTTTTTACGTTATATATTTCTTATCCTCCTCTCTTGTGATTATGGTCCCTGAAGGCTCATTTTGGATAGTTTTCGGTGAGCTATGACAATAGAATGTTTTTTTTTCGGCACTTGCTATTCGTTTTAGAAATCAAAGAAAATCAAAATGAGACGCAGATAAAAAGGAAGGGCTTATTATTGGTACATGTGAATAATCATATTTTACTTACTTACCATGTAAAATTGTAAACAAAGAAATATTCATTAACAAACAGGAAAATATCTTAATTGAATTCATGATTGATCTCTGTATTTAGATCCTCAAAATCACAACAAAATGAGAAAAAAGAGCAGATCTGGTAAATATGAATCATTCGTCGAATTTTTTTATAGTGACGTCACGGTGGTTCCCTGACTAGAGGGCGTTCAGGAAGATTGATACCCGTTTTTATTTTTTTAAAATAATAAAAAAGGAAAAGAAAAACATAAATAAAAGGCTTATGAGCAAATCAGAATGCGACAGAATACTTTTGAAATATATCATATAAATAAAATTAATAAAATAAAATAAATAAAAAACAATTTGTTTACAAATATTCATTAAATTTAGAATAATAATTTTTAAAAATTTCCTGAACTTTTTCTTTGCTTATTCCAAAGTCTTCTATTGAGTGTTTGTGAACACCGTGCTTGTGCTGTCGATGTTCCTGACTATATAATGCTTGTGCTTTTACAACGCCATCCGTGAGAGGAACTTGTAAATTTTCATAAATGTGCTTAACCACATTCTTTTGGTCAGTTACAAAACGATTAAAAGGTATATCGACAAATTTTACATTTGGAAAGTCATCTCTCATCCTAACAAGTGTATCAATGGCATTTTTTAATTGTTCAACAACAATCCGTCCAGAAGCGAGTTTATTACGTTTCCTGTAGACTGGTGAATAAAGATAATAGAGACTGGCAGAAGACGAAACAACTTTTTCAGGTTGGCGATGAATTGTAATAAACGATGCGTCAGGAAACACTTCTAATAAAGCATCCATATGCACTAAAGGAACATGATGCATTAGGAGAGGACGATTTCCTTTTTGTAATCCATTATTTGCACCAATATATTGTAATTGGAATTTCATCTTTTCATAAGTTTCCTTCCAGAAGCTCTTAGGCCTATTATTGAAAATAATAAAAGTTTTAATAGGAAAATTTTTGTTTCCTTTGTGGCTAACTTATGTTGCTATAAATAAATTGCTTATCAATATATATCTGTGTAGACCATTTTTCAAGTATATGTAAAGTAACCAATATATTATATACATTCAAATAGCTTTCTAAAAATAGCATCCAAGCTATCTATTGAAAATATATATATATACTGTATACCTATAAAAAATTCTCTTTATTCGGTCAAATCAATATTTAAAAAGTCTTTTGTATGTAATACACAGAGTATATACTGTATATATATATATTTATATATGTAACTATTGAAACTATAAAAAAATTTCTCAACCTAATCACTATTACGTTGTTAATGATTTACAAATGGATATACTGAGATTATAGAAATATCAAATTCAATATGATAAAACAACTTTTAAGAGTAGAGATATCTCTGTGCTTTTTCTTATTATTTATGAACAAGAAGAAGGAATATACCTATTTAATAACCATAATCTGTAATCTGTCATTGCTTCGAACATATTCATTCTCTCCCAGGAGATAAGCTGATTTTCTAAAAGCATATTAACATCTTCCGGTTCTTCTGGATGGTTCGGATGAGCTTTCCATGCTAATGGGTCAGTAAAAGCCACACGAATAAGAATTTCTAACGTTTTCCTCCTTAAATTACAAGACATCAAATTTTTCCTCTCTTCCTCTGAAACACCCTCTGGGCAGTTAGGTTGCGGGAAGGGAAAGCAAAATTGCCATAGAGGAGGAGCCCACCAACGTTTATCTTCAGCCATTAAACAATGTAAAAATGTACTACCAGTTCTAGGTAAGGTAACAATGAAGACTGGCTTCTCGAATCGAACATTTGATATAGATGGTCGAATTTCTCTTATACTTTCAAATTCCGCATATCTCTCCATATTCTTTCGAATACCATCAACAAGTAATAGTCTTCCAGCGAAAGAAATTTTGTCAACTGAACAAGCTTTCTGTAGTCCAAATACATACTGAAGTAAAGTATCCTTTATTTGAGACTCCACTAAAGATTTCGTAACTTTTTGAGAGCATTTACTCAAGATATTTTTGGTGGTAATTTCGTAAATTGTTCTTCCAATAATAAACTCAATAATTTTTATAACGTTATTCATTAAAACAAGGATGAATTTGACAAATGTCGTTATAAGTAAGTATCTTATCACATCCAGCATCATCAACCGTTGCTGTTAAAAGATTATAGTATTTTTATATATACTATATACATGTAAATATAAAGATTCTATACACCAGTAAGTTTAACGCCTAAAAAGAAGACCAGTAATAATATCTCGAATAAAAAGAGATAAAATAACATGAGAATAAAGAGATAACACGCTCTAAAAGGAATAAAATCATATGATAACTTATAATAAAAACGAATAGAAATCAGAAAGAAAATTGCATCTGTTAAAGGTGTAATGTGTTTTTATTGAGGATAGATTACATTTTCAAATTAGATCTGTTTTCGAATTCTTAAAATTATAATTCGTAGGAAATCGTATTTTAATAGGAAAGAAAACAAAAAAATTATAGTTTGATACATTGCTCTCGCTCATTCACCTCTCTCTATCTCTCTCTTTGTTTGCATGCAAATATGTATTCATATATATATATACAGTATATATATATATATTTGCATATTAAAAATCAAATACAGATGAATACTTTAAATAACAAAGGTAAATTCTATGAAATTCCTCACATAACGTATGAGTTAGAGTTAATTTTAAACCTTTCTAAAAGATATTTAACTTTTTAAACGCTGCATAATGATATATTACTAATAATAATGCATTTTTTAATAAATTTATTAAAGAAATAGAATGTTATTCTCTAATTCGACTGTTATTTATTCATACTTTGAAAAAAATTAAATTTTTACTGGCGTTCTAATTTACAGATCCAATTTATTAATGAAAATTTTACTCATATATAGTTGATAGATTTACTTTATATATTAACTTAAGTAATGAACAATTAATTTAAATTTAATAGTAAACGTGCAATTTTATTATTTTTTTAAGATAACTTACTTGCATTTTCTCTCTTCCCATGTTTCTAGAGGTCATTAACCTATCGGTATTTCCAGTTGTGCTAAAAATAGACGGGTTCAATAGCCTGTTAAAATTATTTGATTATCTGTTAAAGTCAGAATAATTCAACAAAAGATAACGCATTTATATATTCAAGTATAAAAAAATTAGAACATTTCTTCGAATTACAATCGCGGTACTCATACACCTTGTTTTTGAGTAAGAATATACTGTCCTCGATAATTTTCATCATTCAATTAAAATAAACTTACCGAATTGTATAATTTAGAAGTTAAAAACATAAAATAGTAAAAATAATAAAATAATGTGGATAGTTCTACTTTGCAATTGCTATGAACGCATTTCGATTTATTGTAGAGTTCCCATCTAAGCTTAAAACCATTATAACGCGCGTTCTCTTTTATGGGTCAATATTCGTAGTTGCGCAATAAATGTAATGTAATAAAATATTGAATTAATATATTATAATCTTTAAATAATTTTATAAATATTTATATAAAAAGTTCACTATGTTTTAAAAACATTTTTTATTTATTGAGTGCGGGACTTTGGGGTCAGGAAAGATGGCGGACATTTGGAAAACTATGAAACAGAATTTAACCGATGAAAATGCTTTTAAAGCATTGCAAAATTATTATAATAACCATAAACAAAATTTAAATATGCGAGCAATGTTCGACAAGGACTGTCAACGCTTTCAAAAATTTAGGTACGTAATAATTTACTTATTCAACTCCTACGACCTCCGTTTGGGGTCAAGGTTATATGAACAAAAATTTTAAATAAATTTTTACATTAAAATATTATTTGTCATTAATAGTAAAACGTTGAAATGTGAAGAGGGAGATATTCTTATTGATTTCTCGAAGAATCTCATCACTGAAGAAGTTCTAAACCTCTTAATGAACCTCGTAAGATAGAAAACAATAATTATGCTAAATATAGTCCTACATTAACAATAAAAAAAAAAATCTTTTAGCTAAAAGCTAGAGGAGTGGAGTCAATGAGAAAAGCAATGTTTTCTGGTGAGAGAATAAACATAACCGAAGATAGAGCTGTCTTGCATATTGCACTAAGAAACAAGAGTGGAAACCCTATTATTGTTAATGGAAAAGATGTATGTATTGTTTATATAGATTTCTTTAAATATTGAAATTAGTTTTTGGTCCTGATTTCGCAAATAATTATTGATTTTTTTCAATAATTATACTATTCCAACATCAATAACAGGTGATGCCGGACGTTCAGCGTGTGTTAGCACAAATGAGATCGTTCTCTGATAGAGTTCGTAACGGAACTTGGAAAGGTTGGACCGGTCAAACAATAAAAGATGTTGTAAATATCGGTATCGGAGGAAGTGATTTAGGTCCACTTATGGTAACTGAGGCATTAAAACCATATGCAGATGGGCCTACAGCTCATTTTGTTTCCAATATTGATGGAACTCACATGTGTGAAACGTTAAAGAAACTTAATCCAGAAACAACACTCTTTATTATAGCTTCTAAGGTAAATATAAATTAGAATTGATTCAATTATAAGTTTTTGAAGCTTTTTTAATTTAATTAATTTAACTTAATTTATTACTTAAATATCTTTTTTATTTCTATAGTACATACTATATATTTATTTGTACCTTAGAATCTACATTTAATATTTAAATTGTAGACTTTCACAACTCAAGAAACCATAACTAATGCTGTGACAGCAAAGGAATGGCTTCTAAAGTCGGCAAAGGATCAGTCTGCTGTTGCAAAGCATTTTGTTGCTCTGTCAACAAACAAGGAGAAAGTAACCGAATTCGGAATTGATACAGCAAATATGTTCGAATTTTGGGACGTAAGTTATTTTCTTACAATTTTCATGTATAATTTTCAGAAAAACAACTTAATCAAGGATTATTATAGAATCTTATCAAGTTAATAATGATCTGTTAAAATTGTTTTTGATATTATCTACACTATTTGTATTTTAATAACTTGTTTATTTTATTAGTGGGTTGGTGGCCGTTATTCGTTATGGTCAGCCATTGGTTTATCAATTTCTTTGGCTATCGGTATGGATAACTTTGAGAAACTTCAAGCTGGTGCGCATTTTATGGATAATCACTTCCGTGATGCACCATTGGAAGATAATATACCAGTTATCTTGGCTGCTTTAGGAGTCTGGTATATAAATGTTTTAGGAGCTGAGTCGCATGCTTTACTCCCGTACGATCAGTACCTACATCGTTTTGCTGCCTATTTCCAACAAGGCGATATGGAATCAAATGGAAAAAGCGTCACTCGCTCAAATGCTAAAGTCTCCTATAATACAGGACCTATTGTTTGGGGTGAACCTGGTACAAACGGACAGCACGCTTTCTATCAGCTCATTCACCAAGGAACTAGAATTATACCTGCCGATTTCATTGCACCAGCTGTCTCGCAAAATATGTCTTTAAGAGATGGACTACACCATCGTCTTCTTTTGGCTAATTTCCTGGCCCAAACTGAAGCTCTTATGAAGGGTAAAACCAGAGAGGAAGCGACCGCCGAATTGAAAAAGTCTGGTATGACTAGTGAACAGTTGAATGCACTCGTTCAGCATAAAATGTTTGATGGAAATAAACCATCAAATTCGATTGTCGTCCCTCGTATAACTCCATTCACTTTGGGAGCTTTAATTGCTATGTACGAGCACAAGATATTCGTTCAAGGAGTAGTTTGGGATGTCAATTCGTACGATCAATGGGGAGTTGAACTTGGAAAACAATTGGCTAAAGCCATTGAACCGGAGCTTGTTGGAGGTGCTAAAGTTAGCTCGCACGACTCGTCTACTAATGGATTAATCAACTTTATTAAAGATATTCAGGCCAAATTCTAAATAGGCTATAGAATAAAAATCTAATTCCCTTGAATTTTTTGTCCGCTAAGCTGATAGAATACAAATAAATATACAAAATGTATTTGTATTGTTTTTTATTTGAAAACATAACAAGGTAATCGAAATTTCACCATTTCAATTATATTTATAAAAGATGCTATTGACCCAGTTATAATACATACTATTGCAATAACAACTACTTCAATAGCAAATATTTTCTCATGTAGTTTGACCTCTATTTCATACTTCTTACATAATTTTAAATACATAGCAATAGGTAAAATAATTATAAAAACATTTATAGTAAGAGAACCGATTAACGATAAAATTGAATCAAAATCTAACAGTGTTAGAGATAGAAATGAAACACAAAGGGTAATAGCAGTTCGTATTGCTATTCTTTTACATCCAAATTCTGAAATAAGTGTAATATAATTAAAATGATTAAAGTTTACTTGTAATTATACAATAGAATATATACTAAACTATTATTAATTCGAAGAGCTTGTTCTATTAATTGATTCAATTGATTTCCCACGATCGTAGAAGCGAAAAAAACGTGAAAAATGATGAAAATTTGACTTGCGTATCTTGTTGTGAAAATAAATTAATGAATATGAATTTTAAATACATGTAATTCCAACCTCAATTTATCATTTGTTAAATTTAATAAGATATTACTTTTTGTATCATCTCTATAAGTTAACCATGTCACGATTGAGAAGCATAAATAGAAAATAGTTGAGACTAGTTTAATGATAATGTATCATCTTAGTTAATCATGTTTTGTCTTGTCTGTACAATCATTTACCTACTGCTCCAATTTTCACCGCTAGTTTAAATTTTGAAGGTTGAATCATATCATGCTGAATATTTGGATAACTGAGCGTAGCTCCATAACTAAAGAAGAATGTTCCAATCGAGAATGCAAATGAATGAAAAGTAGGTGATGATACAGTTCGAGAAGTTCTAGTAGAGCTTAAATCAGCAATAGTACCATAACACACTAAAGTTGCTGAGAAGAAGATTGCTATTCCACCAGATAATGCTAGATATCTATTTAAAAGAGATAAAAGTAATATTAATAGTCTTATATATAGAAATATTTAATCCAACTTAATATCCTTAAAGGTTCCTAACCAGGAACAGGGTAAATAAAATAATGTAAATATCATTATCCAGTAGCAAATTGATATGTCAATAGAAAACGCATTCTTAAAAATTGATGATGTATTTTCTGCACAAACTAGAAAGAACGTTGCAAGGGTTCCCAATAGAGTGAAAGCCAGTACGAAGGATAATAAATAGCTATTTAAATAATTAAATTAATTGTATATTTTGTAATTGTGTTACAAAATACTAGTTCTTACTGTAAATGTTTACCAAATGCTTTCTTTATTATACAACCGTATTGATTTCTCTCATTGTCATCAATTGTTTCTTGATTTGCTGTTATTGTGTAGCTATCTTCTAATTTCAATGCAGCGTACATTGCTAAAAATCCAAAAAAAGGTAAAGTAGCAATTCCAATATATCCTGTGAATTGGAAAGAAAGATTATTAGTAGTTTATTTACATTAAAGCATCTTTTTCAATTTAACCTTGATCCTTAAAGGCATTTGGCAGTGCAATCAATCCAACCCCAATATTTTCGCCTAAAATAAAAGCTATAGCCCAAAAGATGCCGTACTTTTTAGATTTGAACTGATTAGACTCTTCATTTAACTAAAACCAAAAGAAAATAAAATACTAATCCATTATAAATAAGATATTCAAAGCGGAAAAAATTACTACTAAACTCTTTCATCAATATTTTCATCGCTTATTCCATCATCATGTAAGCATTGATAAGAAGCACAACTTTCTTCCATTTTTTAAATCTCTTATATGATAATGAAAATCTATTTGCCTTCTAAATTTTCAATCAAAAGTAGGTTTGAAAAATATGAATAATACTTATACACTTGTATATTTGTTGAATGTTATAAACTGCATATTGAAAAGTTTTTGTCAAAATTGAATAAAAGGTTGGCCAATTTATTTCTGGTCACGCCTTAAACACGTGATGATAAACACTATTGTCAGGAAAAATGAACTACTAGTTTTAATTTGTCATATTCTGTTGTATATCATAATTAAATAGCTGTTACTTGTTCTTACAATTTTTCCAAACATATACAGTATAATAGAATACTATAAAATATTTAACTGGCATATATACATCGTAGAATGTATTAAATATTCTACATTACCAATGTTTGAATGCCTGGATAATATCTTGTACGGTAAGTCTAAGTGCGTAGTGCTTAAGTATTAGTATCTAATAAAAATGAATGTAGTATTATGTTAACATATTAAGGATACATTATACAGTATATTAGATGGAAATGGACTAGAAATTGTCATTTCGCATAGCCATCTAATCCCTATAAAATGGGTATTCCACGAATTTTAACATTAAATGTTAGTTGGAATATAAGAAATATATTTCTAATTACTTTTAAATGCTATCTATACTGCAAGTTTGCTAACTTTAATTAAGTAGATCTAATTTATCTATAAGATGATTACGGCAGTAATTAATTTACTTCGTATCTCACTTTTTTCAATTACTGTCTCAAGGAGACTCAACCTATCACGGAAAGGGTCGTTAACTTTGAATTTATAGCAGTAGTTTGTCATGAACATTACTGTATTTTGCATATGCATACGTAAGTAATATATAAATAAATTTGTATATATGTAATTATAAGTATGTATATATCAATAAGTCAAAGACAAAGATGCTCTGCTATATATTGACAAGAACGGAGCAGAGTATTGGAGAAAACGGCCCATTTTTTAGTGTTTTTCCCTAGCCCTAACCCAACAGTTGAGAGGATTCTTTCCACTTTATGCTTCCCAACCATCAGCCCTGCATGAACTGAAAAATACTAAAAAAAAAATTTTCCCAACCGTAGAAATGCACAAAATCATACCCTAGATTCCCAACCCCAAAATTCTGTAATACACATTTCACTCACCCTTGGGAGCTTTAATTGCTAAGTCGGAACACAGGATATTTGTTCAAAGGGTACTTTTGGATGGCAATTCGTGCGATCAATAGAAATTTAAACTGGAAAAACAATTATTTAAATCCTCTGAACCAGAGTTTATTAGAGGTACTAAAGTTAGTCTCGCATGATTCACTAACTAATGGCTTAATCAAATTTAATAGACTATTTAGGTCAACTTCTAAAGTTACATTTTAAAAAACTAAACTATATAGTAAAGATAAAGAAAAAAATCCCTTTTTTCAAAATTAACAATAAAATAAACTAGGTATTTAAATACTGCTAGAAAATATGTTATTAAATTAAATTCTGTCATTTGTTACTTGGAGAGAAAGATGACTATTTATCAATTTTTTTAATTTTCTCTAAAAGTCTCTTAAGTATTATCATAAACAATGGATTTTAGTTATTTTCTGTAAATAGAATTGTATTACATGTCATTTTAATATATACTGTATTTTGGTGTATGAATTTAGGAAATATGCTAAATAATATATTAGTCTAAGCATTTCATCTTTGTAGAGAAGTTATGTTTACTTTTTTTCGCACAAGAATCGATCTCAAGGAAATATAGACATGTTCCTTTTTTTTTAAAATGATATCTTATAGGACAGGATCATTTTCAATGTCATGATCATAGTCTGGTAGTTCATTTTTTAGACGTGCCGACAAATAAATCATATGTTCTTCTGGTTCCTTTCTTATCTTTTTTACGCAATCTAAATCTTCCATGTTCTTTCGCCATTTTATTAATTTTGGAAGTTCGTCTTCTGTCATTACTTTCTCCCCTAAAGTTTTTTCGAGTACAGCAAAACGTTCAATAAATGGCCACATATGAAAATCCAAAAGCACTGGTTCTGATCCTACAAGAAAAACAGATGGCGTTAGCTTAATACTTTAAAAAAATATTGTCAAGACCATAATTGATCTTACTCTAACCTCCAAAAAATTTGTCTTTTATCTCGGCTTCATAAGGTTTTAGACTGTTTCTTAAAGCTGGCATACCAACTGACTTATCTACGCGGCTAAAGAGTAAATCGTGATATTTACCAGTCACCTAAAAGCGCACAGTTATTTGTTAGGAAGATGAAACTACTTAGAATTAAAAGACTATACAAACTGATGAAAAGGCATCAATAAACATACGATGGCGAACCCTCGTCAAACCATCGCTAGGAATTAATGATTTAGCATACATTTCAGCCAAATATTCACAACAGGCAGAAGATTCATAAATAATAATATTATCTTTCTCAATAATTGGAGTTGCCCCGTTTGGGTTCAGTTGTAAAAACCATTTTGGTTTATTTGTAAGATTAATATTGACGGTCTCGTGCCTATTTCACAAGAGAATTTATATATAAATTGAAATATGGTTCATTTAGTTTGACTTACTGAATTCTTTTATGCCATAAAATTAGTCTTGCTCTTTGGGCAAAAGGACAAAATCTCATGCTATATATACGTAATTTTCCAGTTTTTTCTGGACAAGTATCATTTTCAGACAAGTGTTTAGTGTTCATAATGATTCTCTGAAAATAACTGAGTTAAGAGTGAACAAATTTAGGACATATGATAACCTTCACCTTGCTACAAAAAAGTTTTATTTATTTATTACCTCTTCTTTCGTTTAGAAGATATAGATAAGGTTCGCAGTGAATTTCTGCTAAAGAAATTGATCAATTTGAGTTTTTCAAAGTAAAATAACTTGGAAACAAAGTAAATATTAATATTAACATGATAAACAACACACTATGCTGGAAAATGGATATAATAATTTCTCGATTTTTATTAGAACAGCCTTTAAGAAAGACTTGGCCAATTTTATCATATCAATAAAATTTTCTTATACTGTATTTTAGCGAGGGAATATCATAAATTATATTTCCAGCTGATATACAAGCGAAAAAAAGGGTTTTTCTTCCAATCCTCTACCATATTATAAGATTAACAGATTAATCTTCAATCTGTATTACCTATAAAATTTATTGATATAATATATACATATCTGCAAAATAAATAAAAATGTGTTCATGAACTTCAATGTAAGGCCAGTGTTTTCAAACGATAAAAGTTTAGGCACACAGAATAGACATTTAAAGTCTCTTAATACTCCTCAAGAATCTATATCTTCTTTATCTTCGTCTACTTCAGTGAGGCGGAAAACTTTCATGTAATCATGCTGCGTTAGCCAAATTTCCATTAACCTTTTTATTTTTTCTGTATATTCGTTCTGAAAATCAAATTTCACTGATTGTTATACGAGAATACACTGTTTTCTACATCAAAGATTGAATATTACTTGAATATTTTTCAAATAATGCTGTTGCCTGTGTGGATGTAGTTCATATACAAAAGATTCCCAATCGACTCTATAGGCTCCAACTTGCTTAATTATTTCTAATTTCTGGTCCAAATAATCAAAATGATCTTTGGGTCTTTCAATCATCAAAGCGGCTAATAAGCTAGAGAACATTTCAGGAATGTGATTTGATTCAATATACGCCCTCTTAGCATCACGTTCTGAAATAGGACCCTTTGAAATTCCTGAATCCTCCATAACTAGTCTAGTAATACGTTTCTAATTTAATAAGGATTGTTTTTATTAAATTTCAAAAATTTCGAAATATTTCACTTACAGAGAAACAACGAGTAGGAAAGTCAAGTTCTTTTACAACGAGTTGTTTACCTTCGTCGGCAACGGTAAGACTTGATTATTTTCGTATCTTTTCTAAAACTTTATTAAAAGAGCATTAAAAGATGTTTCAGCTCTTTTTAGAACAACGAGATTTTTTGTATATTTTATATTTTATTCTATAATTGACTTTTACAAAAATATTCCAATCTTTTTATACTTTTTTTATATTATTTCAAAATTTCTCTACTCATCTTTCACTAGTTAGTATTTTTTAAATAAATTATAATGGCTTTTATGAAATTAACGATGTTTAGATTAATTTTAAAATAATTTTTACTAGTTAAACCACTAATTTTTATATATTTTAAACATATTTACTAATTTTTATTAGAATATAATAATTTTGCTCAACTCCGTATATTATCGCTCATAATTGATTTCCTCTCCCCTTACTCTCTCTTATTAAAACTATTATAATTGATTTAAGATTTAAAATAACTTGGAATATTTTATACTTTTTGATTTTAATCAAATAGAAAAAAGTTAAATATTTTTAATTGTCAAAATATAGAATACAAAGTTTTGAGAAAAGAACAAAAAAGTTGGAATATAAGTTTTTTCAATTGATTCTCTTTTAGAAAATTAGATAGAATGGCACCCTGTGTCTTTCATTTTTTCATTCTTAATAAAAATAATAAGATGTCTGCAAAGAAAATCAGCGCCTCCTACATAAAAAAGATATCTAATTGAGGACGTTATAAAGGCCAAAAAATGGGAGTATTTTCCCTTGCAAATGTCGTAGGAAAATACTGTCAGATATTTTGTAATTTCATAAAGATTATTGTATTCTTTCAATTTTTGTATCTCGAAATGTCATCATTTTATCAACTGCATAAATAATTTGACAATATTTTTTTTATTATTATTACCATAAATTAACATAGAGAGACGTAATGCCTAATCTATACAGTATATTAGGCATAATCTCTTAAAAAATGTGAACAATATTACTTTTGTTCTTTTTTTGGAACAAGAAAATCATCTTATTTTCTCATCTTTCTTATATATATATATATACTGGAGAGCCTTGCAGCCAGCGAAAGAGGAAAGAAAATGTCACCAATTTTGGACGACATAATTTTGTCAAATATTCCAATGCTTCCTTGTTTCTTTACGTAAAATTGACTAGTCGTAATGGGACATAGAGACAACGTCTAATAGAGTTTGTTTCCACAAGGTTCACCTTAAATTGTGTCGTTGTTTCATCATTATTAATATCATTGTGAACAAGTTGTATAATAGTGTTTTAAGAAAGAATATAATTAGTCTTTACGTGTATAAAATATAAATAGAAGAATTTCCTATATTTCACAATCTTTAAAATGGCAAACTAGAAGCAGCATTTCCAGTATAAACTCCACAGCGTTTATACTGTATATTTTATATTAGGCTTATATAGAATAATTATTACTAATATTCTATTTATTCTTCATTAGAATATATACTTTTGACTAAGAATATTACCATAAAACTCTGTAACAATAGCCTTAAGCCTGATTTATAAATAAATTGCTTTTCACAATTAGGCATTCGTTATAATTAAACTTTAATAAATATAATAATTCAATGTAAATAATATACTACATAATGGGTAATGAACACACGTTCTGTGTTTAAAATTATATACTTTAGCTAAGTATCAATACCCAAATTTTTCTAGTATTTAGCCTGAAAAACTTCTAATCCGTTTTCATTAGCTGTATATAAACCTTTCCAATATCCTTAATAAGAAAATTAATTTCCATAGTTAGTTATTACATCCATCTAATTTCTATTTATATACATTTTCTAACAGTAAATAAAGCGTTAAAACCAGGATTTCAATAGGTCGAGAGGTTGTATAAAATTTTATTATGTGTAGTTTTTCAATTAACTTTTTAAACTAGATGAAAAGAAAAAACAAAAGAAGACAAATAAACTACATAAATATTTTATATATCAATAAAGTTATTTGTTATTTAGCAATTCAACAGTTGTTGAAAAATGATTTTTTAAAAATCGATTCTACATTTTCAACAGAAGAATTCGAGTTAAAATATATCTGTTATACTAACTCGCACTTGTCGTTTTATCACTGATAATTTCCTATCAGAGATAGAGAAGTTTCTTAGACACAAAAGAGAATATCTATAATTGCCAAGGTAACTTTATTTGTATTGCTTCTCATTATTCTGTATAAGTAAAACTTTATGGGGAAGAATAGGGAAGAGAAGAGAGTGAGGGTGTGTAGAAAAGAGGAAAAGATATTAGTTTAATGATTTTTCCTTTATTTCTAATTCTCTTTTTCTCCTGTATTCCAAACAAATGAGTATCGTTCATTTGATACTTTTATTTGTTGTTGCAGTAGCTATATTATTTTACACTCACGCAAAAAATATGTCACTTTTACCCGAATAGCATCCGAATTTTACGACAATATTACGTTTATACACAAATCTTCATCATTATAGAAAAAACGGACTACATATTCTGCTAAAATTTTTAAATGTAACATCTAATGTCTAAAACAATTGTTATAATAGAATTTTCAGTTTTTCCAAGTGTCTTCCTCTCTGTATATACAGTATGCATATATATATAAATAGAGTATAATAGTATATATCGCCTAGTTATAGCTACATGTAGACCTACAACCTAAAAGCATGGCCATCCCGCACGATATCTCCACTTTGATGGGAAGTCTATTGATTTCATGGGCCTGGACCTTTCTTTTATCAAAATCTAGGCATAATCGTGTAAACCATCGTTTTAGAACCGTACAACGAACAAGACTTGTTCTGACCTCATTCGACTAGCAGCCAAGATAAGAAGGTGAAGAGTATGTCTGATTTGGCCCCTTTCTTAACGAAATATTGGAAAGAGACGACGATAACTATAGCTATTGGCACGTCGGCGTTAATCGCTTATAAAAAATGGACTGCTAATAAACGACTTAAGGAGGCCACAGATGAAGAGGAAGATGATATGGACGGTAGGGAGAAGCCTGAGAGAATGCAATCAGAGAATTTCGAATCAGTTGACAACGACTTTTATGACGACCTCGCGAATTGTCCCGAAAAACAACTAGAATATCAACCAAGGAAAGTACTTTCCTCTAATGATACTGCGCTTAGCTTAATCCACATATCAGTTTATACGGCATATATTATATGTAACACACACATACACAAGAAGATATATCGATTAGGCTCAAGTCTACTGATTACATAGATGAAGTTTAAATTTTAGTTAATTTTATCTCCTACTAGCAGAATGATAATGACTATTATTTTAACAGTCGCTACACTGAAGATGAAATGTTTACCAGAGCCAAGGAATTTTTTAACTTGATGAATTTAAGACGTTCTTGTAGATTTATGAGTGACGCACCTGTGCCCAGAGAAGTTATCGAAGAAATAATTCGAACTGCTTCAACTGGTCCGTCTGGGGCCCATACCCAACCGTGGACTTACGTTGTTGTTCAGAATCCTGAATACAAGAAGGAAATTCGTAGAATAATTGAAGAAGAGGAAGAAGTTAATTACAGGAAGAGAATGGGAATGAAGTGGATTAATGATTTAAAAAATTTAAGAACATCTTGGTCTTGGAAGAAGCCCTATTTGGAAGATGCACCATATTTGATAGTCGTTTTTAAACAGGCTTACGCTCTATCTAATGGTCATAGAAAAACCTTGTACTATAATGAAATTTCAACTTGTATTTCAGTTGGTATTTTGCTTGCAGCAATACAGGTTGGCTAAAAATTAACTCTTCTTTTCAATAGCAATATTTAGAACGAACTTACTAACTATAATATTTTTATAGAATGTTGGACTGTGCACTTTAACGAGTACACCAATGAATGCTGGACCCCGCCTACGAAGCTTATTAAATAGACCACCAAATGAGAAAGTTATCTTACTTCTTCCAGTGGGTTACGCTGCTACAGATGCAACCGTACCAGATTTGAAAAGAAAAGAATTGAAAGACGTCCTCATTTGGGAAGATTAAAACAGTTCTGAATTAATAAATTAAAAAATATTTAAATATTAAGAATCATAGTTTTTTTCGTATTTTTTCTCGATTTTTCTATACAGTAGAGATATTTTATGGATTACAATATCACAGTTTACACAATGTGCAAATTTTAAACAATTATCATATACCTGTTTACATAATATATCTTATATACCTATATATTTATAATATTAATATATAAAACGTATATATTAGTAATATATATACCGTATATACAGTATATATATATATATATATATATATACTGTTTATTAAAAATTATGTTAATAAATCACTATTTTAATTAATTTACATAATAATTAATGTAAAAAAAATGTTTGTTTGTAGTTAAAATAATAGTCATCTATGCTTTTTCGTCAATCCAGCTCTGGGATTATGAAAAGAACAGAAGACAATGAAAAACAAACAACCTTTTTTCTTGTTTTTAATTAGAAAAAATTCACTATATAATAAATTCTTGTATAGCATATAAATATGATAGTTGGAAAAGAGAGAACGTTTCCTATATGAGCATAATTTTTTTACGCTTTTTATCTTCTTTTATCTTTTTTTTATGTTCATATTTTTAACATTTTTCTTTTTTTTCATTTTCTTGAAAAAATCTTATCAGCAGAGAACGAGGAGGAAGAAAACGAAGAAAACTAGGCTATTTATTCTTGATCGAAAGCTTGCGGCGGGATTATTCATATATCTATTGTTTTCAGCCGATTGTTGATGATTATTATCTGCAAAAAAGAGAAATAACAATAATTTCTGAGCTCCTTTCAGAGTTGAAAAAATAAGAATTGGATAATTATTTTTAAAGCTGTTGTTCTTTTTTTTTTTAGCTTTTATATGAATGAAAGGAAAGGAGCATGCAATATATATATGTACATCTATATGAAATTCAATATATACGACTGGTAGAGGGTGTATTGATATTTTAAGGAAAAAAAGAAATAAATATGACTATTGGAATTGTAATTTCAAAATCTGGACTGACGATGTGGAACATTGAAAATCGAAAGTTCGTTAGTGGGAAACGACCCTTTTGGGACAAGAGTATTTCGGATTTGACGCCTGTATTTTAACGCTTAAATATGCTTTTCATTCTCGTTTAAGGTTTAAATAAAAAAAAATTAATGATATTTACTTTTTCCTTAAAAAATATAAACTATAGTGAATGATGAAAAAGGAAGGAAAGTCTGATCCTTTACCTAATTACGATTGTTCGCTAAAACTATTTATATTTTTATAATATCATTTTGTCCTAAAAAGTAACACATCTATGGATAAAAATAGAAAAACAGACATAATTTTGGCCTATAAGTTATACATTATACGAACGATGTTCTCAATAAAGAGGATTAATTTTTTTATATCTACTAAGAAATATAAATATACCATTGAAATAAGAATTTATGCATTTATATATGCAGTATATACTGTAGGTCGACTGTTGAGTGCTTCGTAATCGTAACGAAGATTAGTATTTTAAGACTATTTTATTATCATTCTTTCTCCCATTAAATATCTACACTTTGCATTAATGATCATTATAGAAAATGTATGAAGGGTATTTGGAAGTGAAAGGAAATCCGCTACATTTGTGGTTGAGAACAAAGTACCCTACCAAGTGAGTATGAATACATTTTAAGATGTTAAAGAGAATTTGTAGCTTACTATACATAGAGTAATATATATATATATATATACCCAAATTTACAATATACTTTATGTATACGTATATTAGCTATTGAGTAGCAGAGCACGAGAAAGCCATTATAGCTTTTTTATCCAAGTTACTTAATATTTTCTAGTAAAGTTGAATAGATGCCACCTTCGAACTCTTTATTGGGCGTCGAACCGTAATAGAGCGTGACGTTTCCGCTATGTACGGTCACAATATTCGCTATAACGATTCTTTTTGATGACCCACATAACTCTTATTTATCTATACACCCTTATTCTATATCTAGTCTTTGTATTTTTGTTTAAATTATAGAAAGCCTTGTCAAGCAGCAGCTTGAACTTTAAGAGAATGGGAAAGAAAGTTTTAGAAACAAAGATAGGAATAAGATAGGTTTAACAGAACAATTCTAAAATGGTTAATTCTATATCTATTCGTAAAATCTCATTGAATGACCTTTTTTCTTTTTGAACTGGTAGCTCGCTTCAAATCCTTTATCATCGTAAACCGAATTAGATTTAAAGATAACCCTGAAGTATGGGCCGTCCGAAGTGACCGTTCTTTGATGCGTACTTAAAAAATTTCCGCATAACTTGCTCATCTTCCTATCTGATATACGAAAACCAAAATTGCTGAATGACACAGAATCGCTTTTTGTTTCTTCTGTACAAGGTTTGATACCCTCGACTGAGAAAGTTAAAAAGTGAATTTGAACTATTTCTTCTTCTTCCATTTCTCCTTTGAAAACGTACTGGCATTCAGTATTCCGGGGATAATCACCAGGATAATTTGGACTAGTAAACATGCCACTTTTAGCCTGACGGCTAGTAAAAGTGAAGATACATTTATCAGCTTTATCTTGTATCCCCGTATAAATACCAAAATTAGTTAGAAATTTGTATCTAGCTTTGAAACCCTTAAATGGAGCCTTGATACTAGACTCTTCCCGTTCTACCGAATCAAAGATAACCTCCATAAATTGATTCGGTGACATAAGTTGGCGGTTATCCATTTCCCCGCAGAAAAGTCCGATATCTTTCAAATCTCCCTCATCTTTAATTTGTACTCGTATAGAATCAATAGATGTACACCTAGAAGGGAAAATATAAGCAATATATTATTTTATATAGTATTTACGACGTTACAAGTCTATAAAAGTATGAATTTTAATAATTCAACATAAATATCCAGTTTAAAACTATTAAAACGTATATAAACTTAATAGAAGGTGTATATATTTTACAAATATTTCACCTTAAAGATATTAGGAAATGAAACGCAGATAAATTAATAAAAAAGATTATAGTTTCGAGCAGAAATGCGGATATTTTTAGACATTCTTCCATTGACTAAATCAGATTAAAAAGACGCTAGAGAAAACGACTAATTGCGGTAAAAAGTCTAAAAAAAACTAATAAAATATTAAACAGAATGTATAATAATTTGTATAGCAATAAGACAACATAACCACTTTATTTCTATGTGGACGACAGATTTTCCTGTACGGAAATATATTCTACTTCTCTTTATTTACATAAGAAATGGTATAGTAAATTGAATTATAAGTATTTTTTAATCATTAATTAATTAATATTTGCATAATTATATTAATGATTAATTCATAATTGAAAACAGGCTGTATTACTGCTTTATTAATTGTTTTTTCTCAGCTTTCTATATCAATAGACAGGACTATAAATATATTTCTTATAAACTACCCTTTCCATACCAAAGGATGATGGTAACTATGTTAGTTTTGTGTTTGTTCCATTAGTGTCTGTTTACCAAGCAATATTCCGCTTAAATGACACTGATACTATTCTTTTTATTCCACCTAATCTCTTCTTTATATATTTATACTTTCCTCTTTCAAAGAAAATTTCTCTTTTTTATTTAACAAGTAAATTTACATTTACTAATTAAAATATTTTATCTATTTATCTAACTAATTAAAAAGATACTAAAATATTATAAGCGCAGTTATTATACTTACTCAGTCGGATCTTTAGCATCATTAGAAATGTAATATAGTTGAACTTCTTCAAATATTACTTGTACCCTTTCTTCTGGGTTACCAATGAATTCGTATTTGCATTGTTGACCGGAACTATACTCTTCCGGGTATCTTGGAGAAGTAAAAGTGCCTTCCTTGCCTTCTTCACTTTTGAAAGTTTTTACGCAGTCAGAAGCTGTTGTTATTAAAAAGATAAAAGGGAATAAGTTAAAAATTGGAATATTTACGCAAACTACAATATATCAACAGTATAAATATACTAAATATCTATATGATAAGCGAATATAAAAATCATCAATTTCACTTTATACATACAATAAAAAAAATATGTTACTATAATGGGAATTGTGTAAAAAATGACATTTAATGAAGATAAGTGATTGATCTATTGCTTTAGGTCTTTTTTCTATGCTCTGTGGATTTCTTTTACAAGCTAAACATACGAAATATATGGTTTATATTATATTTTTCTTATATTTCCAATCATTAGTATAAAGTCAATACTCTAATGTTTAATTGATTTCTGCAACAAGCTTGTCTTGTTATATGTAACAGCTATGATATGTCAGTATGGAATATCTATCATTTAGCAATTTCCGGCACCCTGTGCTTTTCCTGCATTAACCTAATAAGCTAAGTAATCTCATAACGTTTCTTTTAATTCTTTCTCTACTCTTTCTTAGTAATTAATAATTTGCAATAAATGTATTTATAAAATTTTCTCCAGTTAAATCCATAGGAAAGACAAGGAAGAGAGAGAAAACTTAAGTATAGAACGAGAATAGGATAGGGTAAAGAAAGGAGAACAAATAAAACTTAATCAGTTAATTTTCTTAATTTAATGAAATCCGATTTCAATAAGAGGAAAGTGATAACGAAAAGAAGATTTTTTTTTTGAAAGTTGTTTGATAGAGAGGTCTTAGTTTACAAAAAGCATTTTATCTAAGCTGACTGCAAATAATTTGCAGAAGAGAGCTGGAGTTTTTTCTACTAAAATTATTTGGCTATAAATCGGAGTATTCCGTTTTATCTTCAACAAACTGGAAAGAATTGATTATCAATACTTAATTAAGTAAAATTTAAGAGAGCGTAAAGAGGAGTTATTAGCGTTAATCAAAAGCGGAAGGTTCTGAAAAAAACCCACCTCTTTACATACTTCTTTTACGTTATATAGAATGCCTTAATAATCATTTGATAAAAAGAGGAAACAAGTACATAAAAAGACATAAACCCAGTATCTTTATAAGATAATGATTTTTAAACAATAAATAAATTGTTATATGCCGCAAAGCTCTTTAAAGAATTGTTTTAATATAGAATAAAAGAGGAAAGGAGGATATAAATCAATAAAATGAACCATAAGAATTTGAAATGTAATCGATAGAATTCCATTGACACCATTTTCTTTTGCCCTCTTTTTCTTTTATTATTTTTTTATCTTTCTCTCCCTCTCTCGCTCTCTCTATGTTCTATTGTCGTTCTAATAATTTTCACTATTCAAAATAAATAAAGAGAAGGGAGGAAAACATGGACAAATAGAAATATATATGATATTTATAAACTATTTACATCGTAATTTAAAGACAATAATCTTATTTTCGTAGATGAAATATGATAGAGAAAGAGAGAGAGAGAGAGAATATACAAAGTATGGAAAACCAGAGGTTTCCTGCCTAAAAGTTTGCAAATTTCTTTATACTCTTCCAAAATAAAAAATATTAAATACACGTTTATTATTTGCAATAAAATTTGAAATAAGCCTATTTCGTAGGTAATTGTAGATTTTTTCACGATAGATGATAGAAAATTTTGGACGATTAGATGAATATAAAATGATGATGAGTTTAGAAATTGGCTGACAAAAATATATATTTTCATCATTGAAAATTTCCTTAAATTTGCCTCTTTTTCATCATATCTTTCTTCTCTCTCCTCATCCTCTTTCTTTAATAGAATGACAAAAGAAAATTTATCATATAAAGACGTAAAGAAAGAACGGGATGAGAGCTTTATTCAGTTTGGACTATCCTCCAATAAAGAATATACAGCTGCATATAATCCGGTTACGTAACGTTGTAAGCCGTGGGAAAGCCAAGCATTTTTCAGACAAGACGTAAAAGCGTCACTTGAAAGATTGTTGATAAAATGAAAATTTTTGCTTTTAATGTCAGTTTTATGATTAATCCTTAGAGGTTTTCTTTATAAACAATAGAGAATTTATAAACAAAATCATAGCACAATAGAAACATAGGTCGCTCATACAGTATTAGGATGAATTGATTAAACTGACCCTCAGATAAGCACACTAGGAAAAGTGAGAAGAAAATTAAGAAGAGGAAAAGAAATCGTACACCTCATTTTAATCGAATATGATTAAGGAGAGGAAAGGAACAACAACTGAAATAGGCCCTCAAGCGCATCGGTCTATTTTCTCTTCCTAGTCATTAACTAGGGGCGAATCGTTTATTTAGTAGTTTAAGACGAGAAACTACGTCTTGAAGTAATGAGTAGGAGAAAACGCAAAGTAGAAGAGGAATAAGACCAATAATTGATCTGATGGGAAAAGAGACAGAAAAAGGTGTAAAATAAGTAAATTCTTACCGCTGTCGTTCTCCGAATATTTTCCTTTACTAGTTAGAGATGGAGAAAGAACGCTTATTAAAATAGCTAGCGATAGTAGCATAAGCGCTCCCGTCTGCTTCTGCGTAAGCGACTTGTAATAAAAATTGTCGACGTTCTCTCCCTCTGTCTATCTATCTATCTTGTTTCATTCTATTTCTTCACTACCTTTTTCTCTTTCTTTCCCTGTCTGTCTATCTATCTCGCTCGGTCTCTTTTCCGACACTCTGCTTCGTTCTCTCTCTCTTTCTCTTTTGTATCTCTATCACTCGTTTTCGCGGAGCAGCGCACCAGACGCCACTGGCTGTTCCGCAGGTAGCGTTTGAAGTGGCAGACGCGAAAGACGGACACAAGATCGAATAGTTTACAAGAGCGAATAAATCAATGAACAATTACAAATGATTGAAGAAAAAGAGCAACTTTAATTGTCTAAAATATGTTAAAAAGTATAAACTAGTAACTCAATCAATTTTCCGGGCATTAAATCTATTTCCTTTTTCTTTAGTATTATCTACCTTTATAATCATAAGTCTGTTCTAATATCTTTGTTAGATGAAAGTCAAGCGTTAGGAATCTTTCCTCCTCCCTCCAAAAGAAACACTAAGCCGTTCACCTCAAATCGATTCTAAGTTAAGCATGCAGTCAAAGATAAGAAAGCGCGATAGATGGCGTATTACTACGTTTAATAACGAATTCACAAACGTTCCTCAATAGAAAGAGCTTTAAATTGTTTTTAAATTACTTAAGTAATACTCGAATACAATGTTTTTCTAAGAAACCTATAATGAGTATACAATCCATATATTATATCACTAAACTAGTTTATAGTAGTTATACTTGTATAAACCGTTACACATAGTATAACGATTCATATAATTGTAAAAAAAACTACCATCTCTTTGGATAAACATTTATAACCTTTAACTTAAAAAGAAATAAAGCAAATGCTGAATAAATATACAAAATAAGAGAAAATACTTTTTACAGGGGTATGGATGATAAGCCAGAACACTTGTATCAAAACAGTTTGTCTATGAATATTATACATATACTGTATAAGCTATTTAGGACAATAAAAAATTATACTAATTCCTGTCAGGTGTTTTTTCCTCCATTTAATAACCGAATTAGTTCTTTTAATAGAACTTAATATAAGCTATTTTTAATGAAAAAAATTTCCCAAATCCATTGACATATTTTAATTATAGTAAAAAAAAACTATAATAATACAAAAACTCCCAGAGAGAATTCCTAAGAAATGATGAAGAGACAGAGAATTAGAGACGGAGCGAGAGAGAGAGAAAGAGACGGACAGACAGACAGACAGACAGACACAAGTAGGGATTGAAAGAGAAGAGAGAGAGAGAGAGAGAAAACGAGCAATACTCTATTTTTCAAATAGGAGTATTTTAATTTGTTTATTTTAATTTAATATTGATAAAAAAAATTCAATTGAAAAAGCTATCTGTTGCTTGCTTGGTCAGACTAAAATTATTATACATAAAGTACGTTACTACATAATAAACATGATTGAGATACTTTACTACATAATTAATACAATTTTTGTATTTTACAATTTAAATAATAGAACTGAATATATGTATTTAAACTATATTTATAATTTAACTTTTAAATACTAGATGGCGATAGTGAGTTTATTTAGATGATATACAGTATATTTCTCATTATATAAATAAACTTGCAAAGTAATACTTTAAATTATTATGTTATGTTTTATTTAAATATTCATTCAATGTAGATTTTCTACAAATATATTTCCTTTTTGTAAAAAAAAACGAAAAAAAAAAGAAAAGCTATTAAGGATAAAAAGATGAGAGAAAAAATTTCTAAACATTTACGAAAACTTATACACCTGCATAGCTAGATAATTTCAATGCAGTTTGTCGGCTTTAAAAACAAAATAAGATGATGAAAAGCAAAAGAGGAAAAAAAAGGCGTGTTCTCGTGAGTTTAGAATGATAAATAGCCACTTAAATGACAAGAATGTTATAACACTATATAAAAGATGATGTAAATGAAATGTAACAGATTTTCAAGTGTAATAAATAAAGTATACCTTTGGAAGAGTTAAAAGAAAAAATCTATTAATAATTTTTGTTATATACAAACAAAGGAGATGTGAATTTCATAAATAGTTTGCTCCAAATTTCATATATAATAAGTTTGTAGTATTAATAAATTATACATATATATATATATATATATATATATATATATATATATATATATATAGATTAAGAATGAAAGTAAGAGAAGTACCAGAAAAGTAGGTGAAAAATCCATTTGATCCTAGCTGCATATATTATTTAACGAAATATCCTATTCTTAAATACATATACACATATATCCATATGTATTTATTTGTATATTTTTTGCAAATGGGAAACATCTAGGTTTGTTCTGTTTTTCACTGTTAAAATTGATTATTAGTAGGTTTTATGCAATTTTTAGAAATAAGGATTATAGGACTTGTTCTTTTCTTTCTCTCATTTTATAAAAAAAGACTAAAATGGAAATAGAATAATTAATTATGACATATAGCGAAAAGATAAATGTATATAACTATATATCTACATATTTTGACTGATTCCTACTGTATATATGTGCATTTTTATGATTTTTACTCTCTTTTCATATAAGAATAAGCATAATTTTTTGGAACGTTCCACTAGCGGAAGAGTCTCTAGAGGCGCTTTATTAGGTCGCGAGTTTGTACACTTTACAGAGATCGTAAAGGGAAAAGCATAGTATGAAAATGCTGGAGAAAATGAAAATAATAAAACACTGATAAATAAGACTCTTTATATTGTAATACAATGTTAAGTTTTCGCAAACGTTAGATATTTATATATAAAAATATAGACAAACTTACTACAAAGACCAATGACTGCTGTAAAACAGCAGAAAACTCTATAGAACATGGCCAGCTCGATTAAATCGATCAGAGTGACGATGCGCATCCAAAATTTTGTAGTATATCTTACTAGATGTCGCTTTTAGTTATTTTATCAATGAACTTTCTTTTCCCTTTTACAAGTGTTATTTTTAGAAGTAATAATTACACTAAATTAAATTTTTATAGCAATAAAAGGATAATGGTGGAGCAGTTCCTGTTTTAAAAATACCTTCCTCCCCCATCAGACTACATAGTTGAATATTCCGATGGAAAAGAGATATTTTCTGAATGAATGTTTTCTTTAAACATTATCAAACTATGATAAAAAGAAAATTAACATATGCTTTATGATACTTTTCGGTTCTTTTTTAGTGTCTTTCATTCGTTTTCCTTTTGTTTTTGTTTTTTCTTCTTATACATAAATATATATAGACAACTTTTGGATATTTCAAGGCATAATATAATAATTTCTCCATCCTCAGAGAGAAAAGAATATGCGTCAGGAATGAAAAAACAAAAATAAAAAAACAAAAAAATATAAAGCTCTAACGCTATTGCATTCGAATTACTTCATTAATCTCTCCGTTATTTCGGATACTTTGTCATATAAAATAGAAAAATTCTTATTTTCGTAATCGAAGAAAAGACAAAAAGTTTCTTTCATCTTCTCCTATCGTTTGAGGAAAACATACTACGTAGAAACTTCCCCTCTCCCTTCTAGCTCCCGTCTGTCTAACTGTATATAAATATATAGATATATGTATAAGTATGTGTATTTGTGTTTTCTCTCCCTTTCTCTCTCTATCTTTCTCCTTCTTCTCCTTCTACTCTCCTCTTTTTTTTAATTCACTAATTTCTTTGTATCAAATAAATCTTTATAATCATGTTATGTCATAAGAGATTACTTTCGCTTAAATTATCTGAGCAAAAATATCATAAACTAGAATTAGCTAATTTCCTAGTAAATTGAGTCTTATGCGGTCACTTACCTTTTAATTCAATTAATCAGAATTTAAGTTTAAGTTTACTCGGTCTTTCTTTTGAAAGCTGCTTTAAACTAGTTTATCTTTTCTATTGTAATTTATCATATTACTATTCTTTTTTTCATTCAATATATATGTTAAGACAGGCAAAAACAACCAATACTCTAAAATTTACATTTGCCGAGATCACGTGATCAGGCGTAGAAGATGGACAGATTACGAGCTCAATTCGGCCTCCTAAAGTTCACTCATCTATCACTTTTTCCACAAATTACAAGGAGAATAACAGTACTAAATACTGAATAAGAGAAATACAATGCAAAATTACTTTTGTTCTAGTTTTAAATTTGTTCTTTTCTGAAAGATTTTCTTATAATTTAAATTGGATACAAGATAAGATATTCCGATATTAATTTTCTTTTCTCCAACATTTCTGACTTCTCTTACTTCGTATTTTTCTCAGTTTCTCCTCCTCTTAGTTCTATTCCCTTTTCGTCATTCTTTTGCATATCATTTCTTATTCCGCTGTTAAATCCATCTAACTAATTCAATTTCTTACATTTTCAATAGTAAAAAATTTAATATTTTCTTTTCCAGTTTAAGATACGGAAATTATAAGATAAAATGATATGATCGAATAGGCAAATAAAAGTTGATCAAGGGTTGTAACGTGATATGTCATTGCCGATAGACAAGTTTTAACATCAGAGCTGGGTCTTTAAGGTTCATTTAACCATGGTTTTTTATTCTCATTAATCAACTGATTTATGATATTTTTCTCTAATATTGATGGCTACTAAACCATTTACATGTTTTTATACCGATTATGTATGGAATAGATAAGTATACCTTAGGGTTGGTTCTGTATTCATGATAAAATTTTTAAATAAAAGAGTTAATATTTAAAGGAATCGAGATAGCCAAGACAGACAAAGACGAAAGGAGAGTAAAAAGACGAATGGAATGAAAAATTCCAGCATTTACTCGGGCAAAAGAATGTTATTTATGTTAATTCGTCTAGACACTTTCAAATTGTCAATTTCTCTAACATGATCAAGGTCTTTGAGACAATAGGCCCAGAAATTTCCTAATGATTATCTTAATTCAGATGATAGTATTTAAGGGAAAGACTATAATCTCAATACAATATATGGGAGTTAATCGATATTTAACTCAGATAAGCAGGAAGGAAGGAACAAACAAATTTTGTATAATAAGTTCAGAAACGCAAAAAGAATATAGGAATCAAATTAATAACAATTAACTTCTGCTTTCGAAAGTGCCGTTTCTTTTTCACAAGTATCTCTAGAGGTGTAATAAAATCTATTCTTAAAGAATGTCAGCGACTCTGTGAGTCTCTTTAGTGAGGATATTAAATTTGCTGGGTAAAGTAAATGGAAAGAGAAAATATTTTAATAAAAACAACTCA